TCCGCGGCGGACACTCCACCGAGCCGCCGCGGAGCCGCTCGGAGTCCGCGGCGGACTTTAAAGTCCGCTCGGAGTCCGCTCGGCTCCGCTCGGAGTCCGCCAAAATGTACTCGAGTCCACTGTAAATACATTTTGGCGGAGCACCGCCGGAGTCCGCTCGGAGTCCGGCGGCTCCGCCGGAGTCCGCTCGGAGTCCGCTCGAAGTCCGGCGGCTCCGCCGCGGACTCGACTCCGCGACGGATAGTGCCAGAAACTGTAGTAACTGGTTACCGGCTGGGTAACCCTGGTTACCCAGGTAACTGACATGATAATGACAACTAACTTGGTAGTAGAGGGCTCTGTGGCGACTGGTGGTGCTTGTTCTGGTTCCAGGGAGGGAGAGGGGAGAGAGGTAGAGAAGTATAGAGGAAGAGTAGGAGAGAAAGAGAGGGAGAGGAGGAGAGAGGGAGATAAAGAGAGAGGGATAGAGGGAGAGAGGGACGTAAGGAGGGTGGGAGAAGGAGAAAGGAAGATAGGGAGAGAGTGAGAGAGGGATAGAGGGATAGAGGGAGAGAGGGATAGAAGGAGAGAGGGAGAGAGGCCTATATTTTGATCGTTTACATTAAAATATGTACCTGAAACAATGAGCTGAAACATTGTTTGATAGCAGCCGCTTTTTCGTTCTATAGTCAGTCATTTTGGCCTGTTTTACATCTTAAACCAAAAGCAACATGATTTTTTCGTAACTTTTCTGAAATCTTGTACATTAATTTGCTGTGATTGTTGCAAACTGAAGCTTCGTGATAAACGCCCGCTGATGGATATACACGATATCATTCCTCGCCTCGAGGGCGGAACTATCGTATTAGAAACATGTTGAAAGTAAAAGTGAAATTAAATTAAAAATGGATCTCTTGAAGAAACTAAAGTAAAACTAATATCTGTAAGAAAAAGCTCACGCTGGTGGATATAATCCACATCACCTCGACCCGCGGGCGGAAAAATCGTATAGCACTCGGGCCCGATGGGCCCTCCGTGCTATACGAAAATATGTCCTCCTAGGGCTAGCGCCCTCGGGGACATATGAAATATTGCACGCGCGTGCGCGTGCAATATTTTGTTCCGCCCGCGAGTCTCCGGTGATATGTATATATATATCCGCTTATTTCCAATGTGTGAAGAAAGTAGATGTTACCTATGAAGCTGACACATCCGTGATTTTTAGTAAGGTTGTAAGATGCATAATAATCAATTTAGAAATTTCATTAAGCCGTCATATTGAGTCGACAAACCAGAATCCGAGGTTTTGAGATCGTTGATACGAAGGACCTTGCCTTTGTCCAAATAGTTGTACTTCCTCGAATGTGTGACTCGATTTCGAGCACTTCCAGAGTATAGCTAAACCATTTGTAGGTCTAGGGGGATATCAGTGACATAAAATTAGCATAAACATAATGAGTAAATATACTTCCAAGGAACTTCCTCCATCCCTGGAAGTCATCTTCTTTAAATAAAGTCGTCGGTTTGTGACCTAAAACAAGGTAAAGGGCACCGTTAAACAGATCCTAGTTCCTTTATATACCTATCATTGGGTAATTAGATTCTACCGTACTTGTTTGGTCTTATTTTATGGCATATGTTTACAGATAAAAGGCACGATTTAGGGTACGGGCGTCAGATAGTATCTATCGACTGTAGTTATCGAAAGATTATACGGCTGAATCGATTTTAGCTACTACTTTGTTACTTATTGATTTCAATTCGTTAAGCTTATACCATGTTCTGTAACATGGAATGAGACGGAAATTATTATCTAGTGCATTGATGATGATCATTGAACACACCACTATTTCCGTTGCACTTTACTTAAACATCAAAAAGCTTCAACAATCGCAAAACCCCTTTCGTAAGTGAATCGTGCAATATTGGACAAACCTCAGCGGTGACAGTGGGACTCAGCAAAGCTTTCTCCCCAGCTTGGAGAATCACAGTTTGGTGTGTCAAGCCGTTGGGTTTGTTTATTACGAGCTGGTGCGTTGTTTTTCTCGTTCGTCCGTCCGCGAAATTAAGCTCCTCCAAGTACAATCCTGGTGAATATGATCTTTTTCAGAGCCTTATAAATTAATTGATTCTACCATACTTTGCTAGCTGCGATTAAAATTTTCAATTAATTTGCGTGTGATTACGTACTAACGTTGGATGAACAAAAATGTTAATTGCCGATGAAGCAGGCTTCAATATACTACTTGAAATTAGGAGGATTCAATTAGTTCTAATTGAACAGACTTATAACTGAAATCTTCATATTATGTTTTTCTTCAGAATTAAAATAGTCAAATGTAGCGCAGGTTGTAACAGTCGGAAGCAATCTACAACATAACTATGATCATTTCAATCAGGCTAATTTGCTTATAAATGATCAACTGTCAGCCAGTTGCGGGGTCTTTTGGATATAGAAAGATGGCATGAAATCATAATTAATTCTTGGCCGGATTTATTGTATCTGTAATAGCCCGGTTCATAAAACAAAAATATTATCCAATAATTACGGCGATAGGCTTATCTGTTGTTCCTTAGGCCAAATAACTACCAAAAAAATTTTGAAGCTTCAACTCCAACCGGAAACACCCCCACATGCCACGCCCATTTTTTTCATCAATTTTTAACAGGTAAAAATCTTCATATCATCAATTTAGGCATAAAGGAGTGCTTTTAGTGCTCCAACAGTTTGGGGTCTAATAGTAATGGTAGAAAAAGGTTAACTTTAGTCAAAGTCTCAAGTCTCCACGGCGCTTGGTTTAGGCGCACCGGATCTCGCGTCTCCGCCTCCGCTGCGTGATTGGTGGCGCCAGAACTAAAGGTCGTAGAGACATGAGACTTCAACTAAAGTTAACCTTTTCCTACCATTTATATTAGAGTAGCACAGATTCAGAGCTCTAAACACATTCCTTCATCCTTAAAACGACAATCATATGAATTTTGCCTGTAAAAGTTGATATCTTGATGTCAATTAACATCGTAAGCTTTTAAAACTAAAATGAATTAAATGAGTCATAATACTTCACACAATATTTACACACAATATGAAAATATAAATACAGGAAGTCTTTTGGATTCCACGTCTCCACACCCTGGAACTGTCAGAGGTAAGAACACTAGAACAGTCTTTTATTAATAATCCAACAATCATATTATATGAACCTTTTCAGTTGAAACTTCGTTGGTTGCATTGTGTTGCAAAATTTCTTGCATTACAATACTAGTGAAAATAAACATTACTGGGGGAATTTGCCCTCTTCCAAGCTCTCTTACAATGAAGTCGCATTCCGGAGACTAATGTTTATGAATGAGCAGTCACTGTCGAGAACGAGCTGGTCGAGTATTGGGAATATGCCATCTATGGCGTGGAGAATTTCCCCTCTATACCGTGGAGAATTTCCCCTCTTCATGAATCCTACAAGAATTTAACAAGTATTGCCCCATCTTGGAGAGGGAATCAGTCCTTCAGCTTCAAGAAATTCAGTTTACAGAAGAGATTCATTTAGATGTTAGATCCATTACTGATAACTTGGTAAAGGAATTAGAACCAGATGCTACTTTGTTAGCTAATGCTTGGATATTTATAGTTATTTACTTAACTTTGTCTTGACGTATCAGTAAGAGATTACTGTACCTCGTTATTTACGAAGAAATCATCAGACCTTATTAATAGTGATCGGTGACCCTGTCAGTGACGACTGACGAGCTATGAAGGAATCATTGGATCTCATTGATAATGATCCTGTCAGTGACGAGCTATGAAGGAATTATTGGACCTCATCAATGCTGATCCTATCGGTGACGAGTTATAAAGAAATAAAGACCTCATTTAAATCCTAGTTTGACGAAAATATTCCTCTGGCAAAAAAATTCCTTTTGGCAACGAAGATTAGACAGCTTGCTTGTGAAGACTTGGCGATCCGAAAACCAGGGTACCTAAATCAGAACCTGCTGACTTCTTTAAAGGATCAGTTCCACTTTCCAGTGCAGGGACCGAGAAAAGTTCAATGTCGAATCCAAGAGACTTCCTGTATTTATATTTTCATATTGTGTGTAAATATTGTGTGAAGTATTATGACTCATTTAATTAATTTTAGTTTTAAAAGCTTACGATGTTAATTGACATCAAGATATCAACTTTTACAGGCAAAATTCATATGATTGTCGTTTTAAGGATGAAGGAATGTGTTTAGAGCTCTGAATCTGTGCTACTCTAATATAAATGGTAGGAAAAGGTTAACTTTAGTTGAAGTCTCATGTCTCTACGACCTTTAGTTCTGGCGCCACCAATCACGCAGCGGAGGCGGAGACGCGAGATCCGGTGCGCCTAAACCAAGCGCCGTGGAGACTTGAGACTTTGACTAAAGTTAACCTTTTTCTACCATTACTATTAGACCCCAAACTGTTGGAGCACTAAAAGCACTCCTTTATGCCTAAATTGATGATATGAAGATTTTTACCTGTTAAAAATTGATGAAAAAAATGGGCGTGGCATGTGGGGGTGTTTCCGGTTGGAGTTGAAGCTTCAAAATTTTTTTGGTAGTTATTTGGCCTAAGGAACAACAGATAAGCCTATCGCCGTAATTATTGGATAATATTTTTGTTTTATGAACCGGGCTAATCTGTAAGTGTATGAAGAGATCAGTTAATGATATTCAGGTCAACCGCGCCCAGTCATAATTAAAGATTATGACTTGCTCAGCATACAAATTGAAGTTCATTGTTTCCAGGCCTGTTTCGGTCACGTAATCAAGAGAATTTCCGGTACACTGTTCATTTAAATGGGGTCCAATGTTGTCTTTTGTCTCAACTCTCAGCAGAATATCTTTTTCGATCTTTTAAATATTTAACAAAGAAGTTAACTTATTGGGAGAGATTTGAATTGAAACTTAACCATATAATAATAGGATGATGATATTTTTCAACAGTTAACAAAGTTAGCGGGAAATATTTATATATAACACGGCTTATTTCAGCTCAGCATGGCTATGCAGGCTGCGTCGGGCTCGGCAACCTCACATGACATTGAACATTGCATCGTATCTCGTTCACAAAGCACCCACCTGAACCCCAACCTGACCGGCACGACACGTAAACCAACCCCGGATACCCGCCGGAAGATACCTCTCAGCTCTCTCACCGCTCTACCTCTAGTAAGCAGTGTCCAGGCTCATGCTGTCCCAAAGAAGAAGTCCAGGGTCTGGAGACCCAGTTTGTTGGAAAGGAGCCAATATTTCAAGGCTAATTCTCCCAGTATTTTGGAGATCCAGGAGGATAATTTATCCTGTCCGAACAGTCCGGCACCGACCGTGCTGTCAGAGAAGTCTGCCTTGTTAAGTGTGACCGAAGAGGACAATCACTACAAAATATTTAACGTCAGCGGAACACTCTTCGTGATCGATACAACCATCTTCCAGGACTACCCCGACACACTTCTAGGTAAAATTTGTGAAATTTTTGTTTTATCGATTAATTAATTTGTTTCAAAGTGTGTACTTCGATGAGAGTACGAATTTATATTCCTAATCTGATCTTACAGGTTCGGAGAGACTGGAAAAGTTCTACAACAAGACGAGAGGGGAGTATTTCGTGGAACACTACAAGCACATGTTCCCGGTAATCACCCGGTTCTACACCCACCAGGAGGAACTCGTGTGTCCTCACTGCATGACCAAGCAGATGTTTGAGAGTTGCCTAGAGTTCTACGGGTTGCTTCCCTATTATCTAGGTCTCAAAAGTAATTTGAAAGAGATGAGGGGAGAGTTAGAAGCGGATGGTTTGAAGGAGGCGATATATTACACTGTGATAAATCCGGACTTCAGTCGAATAGCACTTGTATACACAATAGTTGACGTCTTGGTGATCGTGTGCAGTACAGTTGTTTTGATCCTAGAAACTGTCAAGGAGGTTGCTGATAATCACTATTTCACTCGGGGAGCTTACATTGTGGAGGCTGGAGTCAACATACTTTTTACAATCCAAGCCATTTTACTGCTAGTTGTCTATCCTTCCATAAAACTCTACTTCACTAGTTTAATGAACTGGATTGACATTTTCTCTGTGCTTCCATTCTACATCAGACTTATGGCTGGATCCTACTTCAGCAAGGCTGGATCCGCATTCCGAGTGTTGAGGCTAGTCAGACTATTCCGGGTGATGAAACTGTTCCGACGTTCCCTGGGAGGCCAGGTTTTGATCTCGTTTCTTTACTCCAGTATCCCTGAGATCCTCCTCCTCTTGTTGATGTGGGGCATTGCCATTCTCCTCTTTGGACCCATGATGTTCTTCATTGAGCACGAACACGGAAATGATAGTTTCGACTCTGCTTTCTCTGGAATGTGGTTTTGCGTTGCAACCATAGGAACAGTTGGTTATGGGGATCTTTATCCCAAGACTGATCTAGGAAAGTTTCTTGCTGCCGTGTACACGATCACAAATCTGACAGTGATGACAATACCAGTATCAATAATCATCACCAAGTACAGCAGGGCTATGAGGATGTCCAACCACAGAAGATAGAAACCCTAAAATGAGTTTCAGCAGTATCCAAATGTGCACATCAGAGACAATCATTATTATCTTATAGTTATTCTTAACTTAAAATCCTGAATTGTGAGGTATATAAGGACTCACCCTGGTCGTCGCCATTTATAAATAGGATGGTGAGCAGTTTCTGGTCAGGAGAAATTCTGTACTTGGAAGATTTCTCGATTTTGTAAGTCGAGTTGAAGCAGAGTCAGAAGAGGAACTGCTCATGCCGAGGGTACGTGTACCATCTGACAAGTGACAATCAATAACGGCACTGATTTCACCTACTGCACGATTTCATAATCCATTGTATGTCTTCTTTTGTTCACGTTTCATGCTACCCATCGGTACGTACCTACATTCGGAAGGCTGTAGGTGTAACTGGTTCCATATACTCATAGAGAATGTGATATTTGGCCCTCTGATTTAAAGGAAAATGTTCAATTTGTCGCGGAGAGCTGAAAAAATCGCGATTTTTCGCGGAGAATGGTAAACATCGCGATTCTGCTCATGCCGCGATTTATTTTTGTCTTTGCTAGCTTCTGAGGAAGCTTTAGTAAACATCAGTTTTTCTAATTTTTCTCCAAAAGTATTAGTAAGTCAGAGGTAGCTTCAGCACGCTAGTAGTGTCAAAATAAACTTACGTATTGCGAAAATTGTAAGCCCGAGTTTAAGTTTCTACGCCCTTCAGAAGCTGAGATACAAATTTCCCGAATATAACACAGATTCGAGCTATTCGAGTTTCAGTTATTTAACTAACTCGATTCAGCAGTAAAATGCATACTAAAGTCTAAATACCTCCCTGTTGCTAGAGTAGAACTAGAAGCAGAACACGTTGAAATGTCAGAGTTTTAGGCCAAAAATGGCGGAAAATGGCGTGGTTAAGGAAGGAACCACTCGACTTTTATTCACCCTAATTTACTTTTTATGGTTTAGCTATTATACTGATGGTATCATACAAAGTCATTTAAAAGCCCCAATCCAATAATGGATGCAAATTTCTATAATTTTGGTCAAATTTTCCAACGCTTTAAAAAGGGTGTGGTCACGAGTAGAACTGAAAAACTAACCATCCACATTTTTTGAGACCCTAGGGAGCACGACAAACATCTCAAATCTAGTTGACTTGCTAAGTTGTGTCAGGTTTTGAATAGATACATGATTAAAGGAGAAGTGAGGGGAGATGAAACAGTACTAGTAGGGGTCTGTAAGGTTGTAGGATGCATCATTAAAGAATAAATGAAACAAAGTTCGAATGATAAGTTCAACTTTAAGTTTCAAACTCGTCGGGAACATTGTTTCATTTGTTCTTTACCTCGCTCCTTGATCTCAAGTACTACTACTAGTAGTAAAGCATTAGTGCCGATAAGTAAAATAACACCATTATGGTAATATTTATTTTAGAAATTTAATTAAGTCGTTATATTTTCTGTAACTAGCGCCAGAACTGGGAAGGAAGTGAAACTTTACGTTAAAAAATACCGACGAACTTATTTTCCGAGATTGGTCAAACTTACATGAAGTGCCTAAAACTTAACTTCATCTAATCTTTTGAAATGAACTTCGCACTGAAGTCTGAACTATTATTTACCAACGTAATACTAACAGTGAATGAATACCATGATATGTGTCATTGCGAAATATTCATAAATTCACAGGTGTAACTATGGTAACTATGGTAACTAGGAGTGTAATTATGGTAACTAACCTGAAGAGACATAACTTACCTGATCATAATTTCGACTGTTAAATGATAAACTTAACTCAGTAAGGTAAATCACTTTTAGTACTTAACGTCAACCCCTACGTCACGCCACCTAACTTCTTTTGATAGTGTTACTGCTCGGACTTTATGCTCCGCTGATTTCACTGTAACCCTTTGCTGGAAAGGTCTCTACTTCACGCTACTTTTTACAGATCAAACCTGTGATCTATTTTGAAATTGGAGTCTACAACCCCTAGTTACCTAGTATCTGCACAAATCAGTATGAACAACTGTTTATCTCAGATCGTCGTTGTCTTAAATATTGATCCCGTCACCAGTGAATCTATGATTTGTTGGAATAAAGGTAACTTTACTTACCTTCATCCGAGTCATTTTCTAACGAGGGCGCCAAATCGTCGGTTAAATGTGGGACAGTTTTAATAAATTTAAAAAATTGCGCGTGTTACTCTAGAAACACACTTTTTTAGAGATTTTAGTTTTAACAGCGACCTTAGCTGTAGTTTCACTTAGTAGTTTCACTTAGTAGTTTCACTTAGTAGTTTCACTTAGTAGTTTTACTAGTACGTATAAGGCTTTTGGTCAGAATATTGGCAGCTAAATGTTGGCAAGAACCCACTCGGCAGCCATTGCTTGGTAGACTGTTCTTTGTAGACTGTGTAGACTGTATGGCTATTAGTAGTTACACCACTCACTATACAGTAAACTGGTAAACAGCAAAAAATCATAATCTAATTTTCACAGATAACTTATTATCAGTGGTGTTGTGTGTTGGAATTACGTAAGGTATGTTTGGTTGTTCATTTCTTAATGATTGTGTAACGTTATCGTTTGAAATTGCTATCGTCAAAATATTTATCGTTAAAATATTTGTTAGATCGACAAAGTCTGTCATACCATCAATCATGTTATAAATAATCCTCAATTTAATTGTCCATTTATTACATGAATGCTTTTAAGCGTAATTCAGTTAAATGTCCGTTCAAAATTATGTCCGTTCACGCAATGTCTGGTCAAATAACGTCCGATAAGATATAAGTTACAAGGGAATCATTTAAGCTTCAAGCCTAATTATAGTAACTAAAACAAGTATGTAAGGTGGACCCCAACTTGGCTAAACATACACGGTAGTTTAAAATAATATGCTGCTCCAAAAATAATATATCCCAACAATAGGTAAAAAATATTAATTTCTTATATAATAGAATAATGCGTTAACCATATAACAAAGTAATTATTCGCTATATTCAGTAAATCTATTTTTTAGTATATTGTTAAGTTTATGTTTTTTGTTTGAAATTAACATCCCCTGATAAGTGTTAGCTGGAGTTTGATATGAATTCTACTAGTCAGTAATAATGGCCTTCAGCCGCAGACGCCCTAAAATAAACAAATGTAGAATCTTAAGATTTATGGTAGACATAAAAACGACGTATGTCGAGGCGACCCGCTTGTGACTCAACTAGTTTCGGCTTTTATAAATTATATCAGAAATTTCTATACGTAGTTTATTATTACTATTTTAATCTGCTAGGTGATACTCCCTTGCGGATGGTCGTAAAAAGCCCAAACTAGTCACAATTAGCAGGTTGCCGGTCCACCTTACATATTTGTTCTAGTTACAATAATTGGGTTTGAAGCTTAAGTGAGATCCTTGGAATTTATAATCAGTAATCTTAGTAAAAAGCAAATGAGTGCCAAAAGTTATTCCAGTTATTTCCCTTGTTTCAACTTTCACTATGTCTGTCGAGAGCCGTGATGCTCCCTACTAAACACTACAATGTTAAAAACTCACGTTCGGCCTTACGAAATCTGCACATTTTTCAACGCTTCGAAGATTTCCCGATGATTAGAGATTAACCACGATTACTGTGCAAACAGTTATAAATGTCATATTACCCGGTTTATGCGGGTAGGATTACATTTACACAGTTATTTTATGTGACTGCAGAAATGTTATCTTGCCAGATTTGTGCACCTTCGCCGAGCCCAGTAAGACTACACTTGTATAGTAACACAATCTAAATGGGGTTGTTTAACATATAATTGAAGCGTAAGGTTGTTGGTACATAACATGAAGAGGTGTTAAAATGATAAAAAGGGTTGCCAGTGCTAGAGAGAGAGCTGCAGAGTAGCCTTATAATATACAATTATGTATCATATTATAAACATATTATGAACATATTATAAACATATTATGAATATATTATGATGAGACAAATCTAGTCTTCTTGAGCCTTCTTTCTTTGGATTCACTTGATTTAACTAGTTTGATTGTTGATTTCGATTGATTATTTTGAGATTGTGTTACATTACTTAGATTTGCAAACTCTTATATAATAGCGAATTTTTGACGAATTGCTTTTGGAAAAGAACCGCTTCCTGATCTCACGAGTTGAGGTTGTTCATTTTGCTATTTTGGTGAATGATACGGTTAATAAATGTAACGGTTAAATTTAATGGATGTACTGTAACCAAAATCTTGAAATAACCTCACAAAGTCAGAGATCTTTCAGTGATAATTAGATCACTAACTGTTAACACTCTGTAAAACTGGAGAATTTTGCAGTTCAAAGACGTAAGTTGAATGAAGATTGGGTGAACTTAAAACCTTTTAAATGCCACCTTATTAGCCGGGTATTAATGATGGAGACATGGCCTAGAAGAATGCGGTAAATGTAAAATTGTTAAAACAGAAAGTTTTACTCTCATAAACCCGGTCTATATAATTAGTACTGCATACTCCCTGTATGAAACAGTAACTTATACCACTACATCCTATTGTTTTGAGTCATCTCATGAGACCGTCAAGCTTTAACCGAATCGTTGAGATCACCCCTTTCTCGAATGAATTGCTAACGCACAATTCTTTATTTTATGTTAACACTTTGAATCTTCGTAATTTGATCATTACAACAACCTGACTTATAGCCAATATATCCATCTTTTCTTTCATTAGCCATGCAAGAGATCAGCAACGTGGGGATCGCTGTTCTGGTTTTGGGAACCATCTTGATATCCGTTCTTCTCTTTCTCGTGTTGATGGGTAATCATTCCAACCTCGAAAAGGTATTTTCTAGATAGTTAACACTTTGTGATTGATAGTGATATTTCCTTATATTATACACCTGGGTAGTCTGCAAAGAGCCTGCCAAGAGTCTGTTTGAGTATTGATAAACATTATTTCAGAGGTTGACGAAGTGTGTGATGGGGACATCGTACTTAATTGTACTTATAGCAATCACTTGTAAGAACCTTTAACAGAAATAATATTTTATTCAAGACTGTATATAACTAACAACAACATACACTACAATAGTAACACCATAATATCAGCATGTGCTTTTCCCCAATTTAATATCAAATTTTCGCAAATACTTATCACAGTTTGCAAAAGAGAGAGCTTTTGGGCAAGAGCAAGTGTTGAAAATGTAATGATACGGGTGTGGGCGTCCGATCTGCAGGACTATGAATCAGACATAGGCGTGCATTTGGGACTGCGAGGGATCAATATCACACTAAAAGTCAAAGGTTGGATGATTTCCTTGAGCTACACCGATCAGATTGACTTAATTGTTAGCTGCCCACTGACCAAATAATTCATTACTGTTTGTGCAACATTCTTTCTAATTCCCTCGCAATTTAACACTGTGCACTTTATTCATAAAAATTCTAGCACATGTTTCATCAGAGAGACCAGAATTTGCCTTTAACGAGCGCTTTGAGTGGGCTTGGGGTACGAAAAACAGTATGGAAGACGGAAGCAATCCTTACAAAAGAACACTTAAAAGTGCTGTAAGAAAAGGTCTCCCACTCCCTATACACGACCTAGCTGAGAGCTTTGAGACTTACGGAACATTGGGGCCAGCCTCAGCAGGGCTGGGAGTCCACGAGGCCGGCTTTTTTACTGACCTCTTTTTAACGTGAGTTTAGAATGGACCCAGTTCAGCTTTTTAGGATTTGTAGCCGCCTACAAAAACTCATTAGTTCTCTTAATTTCCTTGACAATAACATTAAATGACCCTTCAATGCAGTTAAAAGTTAAAACTATCGCAGACTTTCTCTTGTATCATGGATAATAGCAGGAGTCCTCCCCCCTCTATCACTCTACGCTAGCCTCCACGCCGCCTGTATTTCTCTTTTCTCCCTCGCGCTTTGTACGTTATCTTTAATAAATTACGAAGATTTTAATTTAATCAGAAATTAATTTAATTTTGTTTCAGCCCTAGATTTGCAGAGTTAAATATCATATTGTGGAAGATTTTCAAACAACCTTTGCTCAAACTTCAACTTTATGGACATGTTAGCCTCTTACTTTTTCAGCACTGTTTCTTTACGTAGTGATATTCTACTCCTCTGACGTTATGTGGAAGTCACAAAGGTACTTCCAGAGTGCTCATGAGGACTCACAAGTTGAATTCTACCTCAGGGTTAGTCAACCAGAATTGTCGATAAAATTTTAATAATACTAGTAGTAGTACTAGTAAACTGATCAGACAATGTAATTATCATTGGTTGCTACCAGTTTCCTGATATTTTGATATTCATGTTAATTGTTAAAGTGTTAATTGTTAAAATATGTTGGATATAAATCAAGAGGCTTGCATATGCCACTTTGAGTAAATTCAGGCGATTCAGATTACATATAACATTACAATCCGAACGCGAGTTTCATCATCATCAACTTTTCAGTTTTCTTGGGGCTTCTACATAAACCTAATCATGTTTGTGGTATCATTGTTTCTGTGTTTCGGCCTTCGACAGTGGGCGGTGATGGTCAGAATAAAAGAGGTTTGTTTACAAAACTGTAATGAGACGGTTACCAGGTTACCAGGTTACCAGGTTACCTGGCGGTGATGGTCAGAATAAAAGAGGTTTGTTTACTAAACTGTAATGAGACGGCACACCATTTTAAAGTTTTTAAGTTCATATTATTTAAAACGTTAGCAAGAGTTAAAAGTTAAAATTCCTAACCCCTGGTCAGACATGGAAGATGCAGCAAGAGGTAGACGAGATCAAGGAGCTGAGGAACAAGGGTGACGACAAGAGGAACCGTCCACGGGGAGTGCACAGTCGCAGCAGCTTTAAGAAAGTTTTTAAGAGAAGGCTCACAGCTACGTGGTCTAGAGGAGAGAGCCAGTAAGAGATTATTTTACAGTATAAACGGGAAAATGGTTACTCTAGTAGCAGGGCATAGTTGAGTGTGCACTTCGATGTATACGATTTCTGACAACACAGGGTTGTTTGTTAGGTCATTCTAAACCAGAATCGTTTAGGTGGACAATTTGTTTCGCTAGAGACAACCCTACAGGGCAAATTTTCTAAATTACCCTCAGTCGCGTATACGGGATTTTCGTATTTCGGCTCCTGAAGGTCATAGAGACTTCATTTTTGGTGTAAAATTACCGCAGTGGCCACATTTATATACAACTTATTAATCAATGTATGGTCTAAAATTGTTTGTTCCCGAGATATCTGCAAAAAACTAATTTAAGCTCAGGCGTAGGCACAAATTTCATCAAATTTGTATCTCAGCTTCTGAAGGTCTTAGAGACTCAAACTTTGGCTTAAAATGACCGCAATGCACATGTTTATATTGACACTATAAAGGTCATAAAGGTCCAAAATGCTTGCTTTTGGAAAAAATCCAGAAAAACTGATTTTCACTGGGGCGAGTGAAAAAAATCTACTCTAGAAGCTAATTGAAATCGAGTATGCAGTTTGGTGTCTACAAATTTTCTAGAAACCAGGTCCTTTGTAAGCTTAAGGTCATTCTGGATCAGAATTGATAAGGTACGCAATTTCTATCAGTAGTTCCAACCCTAGGGGGGAAATTTCTAAATAACCCTCTGGCGCAAATATATGACTTTTGTATCTCGGCTTCAGAACGTTGTAGGGGCCTCTCTTTTAGCTCAAACTAACTGCATGGCAAAAGCCACATTTACATACAAGCAATAAAGCAACATAGGCTAGGGTCTATAGTGCTTAGCTTTGGAGATATTCATTAAAAACAGTTTTAACTTTCGTGCATCCTGAAATAGTAACATCAAACATGTAATTAATTTTGGTATCCTGGGCTAAAAAGTCTTACAGACACTTTACTTGCAGCACAGCAAAATGTTCAGCATGAACACATTCAGATAATATTTATGGAGCAACACAATTCAGTTTCAGAAGATCCTTCCAGCTATCTTATCTTATCTCCAAATGTATACATCTAACCATCTCTCTGGCTACTTCAAACTACTTCAATCCCCAAATTTATACATGAACATCTAACTATCTCGTTATAGCTACTATAAGTTGGGCTCTCTCCAGTACTGTTTGACTAATATGGCTAATCAACTTCAATCCCACCTCATGAAGTAGAATCTACTTCTAGCTACCTTTAATTCTGCTACCTCCATGCCATGCCTATTCTACCCAGCTACCACCAGCACGTTATAATTTTAGCTCTTTCTAGCAACCTCTGAATGCTACCTCCTATCCTGCTCTATACAGGTACCACCAGTGGGCAGAAACCACCAATTCCAACTCTTTTCACCTACTTCGGCTACATCTATTTAGGTACTACTGCAAGGCCCCCTGGCCCCTCCAACCTCTGCTCTTTCTAGCTTTCTAGCAAACTTGACTTAAGCTACCTCTTGCCTTTTATAGCACCGCCAGCAACAATTTATTCTGGCTCTTTCCGGCTGCCTCAGCTGCATTCAATAATTTCCAACTCATTGAGGAAGAGGAAACCTGCTATTTCTAGCAACCTCTGAATGCTACTTCCTGCTCTATCTAGCTTCCACCAACATCCACTAATTGTTGTTAAGTTACCACTAGCACCTGCAAATTCTAGTCCGATCCAGCAAACTCAGACTACCTTATGCTATATCCAGATAGCACAAGCACCCTCAAATTCTAGCTGGAGCCTGGAGGTAGCATGAATTAGGTAAAAACAGATAGAATTTGAGAGTGCTCAACCAACTGAATATGGATGGATGTAGCCCGAAGTAGCTAGAAGAAGCTAAAATTTGTGGGTACCGTTTGCTAGTGTTAGCTGGATGGAGCAGAAAGTAGTCTGAGGCTGCTTAATAGGGCTACAATTTGCAGGTACTGGCAATAGCTGAAGAGAGTAGGAGTAAGTCTGAGGTTGCTGGATAGGGCTAGAATTTGCAGGTGCTAGTGGTAACATTTAAACAACAATTATTGGGTGTTGGTGGAAGCTAGATAAAGCAGGAAATAGCATTCAGAGATTGCTAGAAGAAGCTAGAATGGAGGTAGCAGAATTAAAGGAAACTAGAAGTAGATTCTACTACATGAGGTTGGATTGGAGTTGATTAGCCATAATAGCCAAACAGTACTGGAGAGAACCCAACTTGTGGTAAGACCGGGATTCCGGCTTAATCCCGATCCCTAATCCCGGTCTTAATCCCGGTCCTGGCACTATTTCCCAGTCCCAGTCCCGGCCAAACAAGCGGTCCCGGTCGAGCCTTGGCTTTAACGAGATGGAAGCAACCAGGGAGATGGTCAGAATTCAGATGTATAAATTTGGGGATTGAAGTGGTTTGAAGTAGCCAGAGAGATGGAACTAGATGTATACATTTGGGGATAAGATAAGATAGCTGGAAGGAGCTTCTGAAACTGAATTGTGTTGCTCCATAAATATTATCTAGTCTGAATTTGTTCATGCTGAACATTTTGCTGTGCAGCAAGTAAAGTGTCTGTAAGACTTTTTTAGCCCAGGATACCAAAATTAATTACATGTTTGATGTTACTATTTTAGGATGCACGAAAGTTAAAACAGTTAATATCTCCGAAGCTAAGCACTATACACCCTATGTTGCTTTATTGCTTGTATGTAAATGTGGCTTTTGCAGTTAGTTTGAGCTAAAAGAGAGGCCCCTACAACGTTCTGAAGCCGAGATACAAAAGTCATATATTTGCACCTGAGGGTAATTTAGAAATTTCCCCCCTAGGGTTGGAACTATTGATAGAAATTGCGTACCTTATCAATTCTGATCCAGAATGACCTTACAAAGGACCTGGTTTCTAGAAAAGTTGTAGACACCAAACTCCATACTCAATTACACTTTACAGTTAGCTTCTAGAGTAGATTTTTTCACTCGCCCCAGTGAAAATCAGTTTTTCTGGATTTTTTCCAAAAGCAAGCATTTTGGACCTTTATGACCTTTATAGTGTCAATATAAACATGTGCATTGCGGTCATTTTAAGCCAAAGTTTGAGTCTCTAAGACCTTCAGAAGCTGAGATACAAATTTGATGAAATGTGTGCCTACGCCTGAGCTTAAATTAGTTTTTTGCAGATATCTCGGGAACAAACAATTTTAGACCATACATTGATTAATAAGTTGTATATAAATGTGGCCACTGCGGTAATTTTACGCCAAAAATGAAGTCTCTATGACCTTCGGGAGCCGAAATACGAAAATCCCGTATACGCGACTGAGGGTAATTTAGAAAATTTGCCCTGTAGGGTTGTCTCTAGCGAAACAAATTGTCCACCTAAACGATTCTGGTTTAGAATGACCTAACAAACAACCCTGTGTTGTTAGAAATCGTATACATCGAAGTGCACACTCAACTATGCCCTGCTACTAGAGTAGGTTATATGAACCCTAAACAATCGGCGGTTGATGATAAAATTTAACGGTTTCAAAAATTAAGTTAAATAAGAGTTAAATTGAACGTGTTTCAGATGCAAAGATGTCTGTCCTGGAGTGAGCGCAGTTCCTCTGAGCGAAGTAATCGAGACCTTGGTTGCAGAGTCAAGCTCAAAAGAAAGGTCATCAAATCCGAGGAAAGCTGTCATCTGCGAGGTAACATCCAAATAATTTCAAAAATAAAGTTGTGATAGCAAAACTGAGTACTCGTACATAACGAATAACGATAGCTATACTTATTATCCAAGTTGTAAAGCTCAAACTTGAAGTGCACATTTCATACAGGAGGTCCCTCTTCTGTACCCGGATAAATTCCGGCCTCAAGTGCACACTAGGAAGGTACAGTGTCAATGTTCATAAATCATAACCATGTACGACGAACGTGATTGTGTACAATTGAGATTTTTCGATCTTTATAAAATAAACCGTGCATGACAACCACATATACATTGTACAGGGGGGGGGGGGGCCAAAAGTCAGTGTGCAAAGTGCAAACGTTGGCCTTAATAGCTTAGTCACTGAGTGCCCAATTGAAATTATTCTTTCTGGTATGACTTACTACCACCACTGCAGTTCAAGGAATTTCTCAAATCGAAAAATATTCGTGTTCATTTTTTTCAAATGAAGGTTCATTTTCGCATTTATATGATAGTTTGGACAGTCGGATTGAGCCACATTTTATTGAATTGGTCATTTAAATTACTTTTGTCCTGAAAAAAAAGAGAGTTCTAGCTTCTCAGATGACCGAGATATGAAGCATAACGAGGTTATTCATTACGTGTGATCAGGTGATTGGTTACCTAATCACGTGATTAGGTGACCCCGTTAACAACCTTCGCACCTGGTGGCACTCAGGAATCTCAGCGAATTACTTCTGATGCAAATAATGCTTCTGGTAAACATGATGCTAGGATCACCACCAATGACCCTAGTACTGGAACCAGCGTTGAAAACCAATCAACTCGTGATAATAACCCTGAGGATCACCTGACCCAGACCAGTTGCAATAACTGTTCAGAGCTAAAACATTCAATGTCTGTACTTCAGGACAGTTTGCTCGAACTCAAGGAAGAGATGCTCCAACAAAAAGCAATCTCTGACCTCATCCTGTCGTCCCCAACCACATCTGAAAAAAGCATGTCATCCCTGTTTAAAAACAAAGTTGGCCCAATTGACACCAAGCTGAATGGAATTCGGGCTGACCTCGATCAACTTAGAGCAGCAGTAGATGAGCAGAACATAATTCTCGAAAAACTGATCAATTCAACATCTGCCAATTCCGCTCACAAAAAGCGGATTGAGACCCTCGAGATCGGCCAAGAAAACTTGACGAAGGCCACGAAGGGAATTGCCAAGTCTGCACTCAACCAATCTCATGCCTCAACCCAAGAACTCAAACACGAGCTTCGCCCCATCGTCGATGCAATTGGTACCACAAGCGCTTCTAACAGGACGAGAATAGAAGCCCTGGAGATCAACTGAGAGGACACTATACAAGCACTAAATACTGCTGACCAACCTGCAGCGACCAACATAACTGTGACACCCAACAGTCCTCTCACAGTGAACTCTAAGTCAACATCCAATCGCGATAAACCCAGTGCACTCAGTAACAGTTCCAGCAATGCCACAGCACGTCTAGGAGAAAACGAGCCCAACCAATCAGTGACTTCCTGGGTAAAGGTGGTCGAACAAAGCAACAACAAACGATTCACAGTGGCAAACAAGCAGAACATGAAAAACCACAATGAAAGGGGCTCCAAAGATGATCGACCTACTAAAGAAATGAGGCTAAATCATGGGAGCCTCAACAGTAGAAGCCGAACAAATGATCCTGGACACCAAGTAGAGCAAACCAACACCCCCGATCGGGGTCTTAATGAAGCAAACTCTGCCGCTAAAGCTACGGAAAGCTACAGGCGACACACAGTTCTTCTGCTCCATGACAAGAGCTTTGACAAATTTGATCCAAGGCGCTTTAATAGTCAGTTCAATGTTCAATGCTTTAAAGCAAATAGTTATTCAGACATGCTGAAAAAACAAAGCAGCTTAACAATATCATAAAGCGACTCAGACCGGAGTGCATTTATATCCACACAGGGAGCAATGATTTCCTCAAGAAGAAATCAAGCCTTGTGGGTAATGTGAAGGAACTCTACGAACATCAACTGAACACCACAAAGGCCCAAATATGCTTCTCAGCGCTGATACCCTCCTCCAATGATTTTAGCATTAATGAAAGAATACGTGTCGTCAACGAGGAGACTAGAAACCATGTTAGTTGGCTCCGCGAACACAGGCCGGATGTCAAAGATAGGATCTTCACCTTTACCAACGACAAAATTGGCGATCAAAACTTTTATTCGTTCAACACAGGATTCGAACTAAGACAGAGAGGTCAAAACATGCTCTGGCTTCGCCTCCGGGAGGGCCTGAGGAAGACCCTGCGCCTCCCCCGAATAAGCTACCACGACAATGATGAAACAACTACAAGACGCAGCACCAACAGATTTAGCAATGACTAAACCCACACAAACGAGGTCCCGCCACTCCCTTAAGTTCCTGTGCTGGAATATCAACCACTCTCGGGACAAAGTTGAAGGAGCCAAGGTTGACATTCCCGAAATTCGTGAGCTCTTCGACAACCACGATATTTTTGCTCTGCAAGAAACAAAAGGGGAGATCAACATAAGTAACTACTGTTGCTTTAATTCTAACAGGAAGGGATCAAATTCAGGAGGGGTATGTATAGGAGTACACAAAAGCTTAAAAGCCGGTGTAACCAATGTTCGTATGAACTCCACGGAAGATATCGTTGTAGTTAAACTGAAAGCTAACTACTTCGACCTAGACCGAAACACCTATCTTATCAACGTCTATGACTCACCCACTAATGGATCTTTCAAGAAGCGAAGAAGAGGTCTAGAAACTGAAGACAGTATGACAACTCTAGAGTATCTTCATGAATTCATGGCGGGTGTACCGCTGAACGAGGATGTCATCCTTCTCGGGGATTTCAATGCTAGAACTGGCACCCTGGACGACATGTTGTCTGACCATAGTCAAGTGAAAGACACCGAGATCGACCCCCATTTCTTTAAACAGTTGGCTAAACGCAATAACTCAGACCCTAAGCTAAACACGAATGGGCGACCCTTCATTGAACTCCTCCAAACGACAGGCCTAGTCATCCTCAATGGTAGAACTCTCGGTGATATATTCGGTGAACCCACTTGTATTCAGCGCCATGGCGTCAGCACAGTTGATTACATCTGCGTCTCAACGAGTCTTCACGACAGAGTCCGCCACCTGAAAATTGAGAGCATCTCTCAATACTCCGATCACAGGGCGCTATCAATGTCAATATCCACAAATCCTTCAAGAAGGATTTCTACCAGTCTTGAATCACCAGATATCCAAGATGCTCCTAAATCTTTTAAATGGAACAGATCAGAGAACCTCTCTACAGCAACTAAGTTCCGGCTAGCACAGAGTGATCAGCCATTCAAAGACATAATGGACTGCCTCCTTAATCAACCAGTGAATACGGCAAACGAAGCTGCACAGTTTAATGAAGACGTAGTCGCAACATACCACAATCTTGCGAATTCGGTTACTACGACCAAAAGCGGCAAACGCACCAGCAAGAAAAAATGGTTTGACCAAAGCTGCAAACATGCTAAAAGGGAAGCCAACAGAGCTGACAGAAATGCCAACAGTAACCCACACAGCAACTTCCTTCGTGACCAGCACTTTCTCAGAAAAAAGGAGTACCGAAAAATCAAGAGGACGAAAATTGAAAAAGGGGAAATTTCTGTACGAGATGAACCAGAAGATAAACGAATGTGGTGAGGTTAACTGGGCAGCGCTCAAACGGCTATCTGATCAGTACAAAGATGAGGAACCCTTCGACATCTACGATCTTCTCCTCTTTCACAAATTCTTCAATGATCTCTACAATCGAAAGTGTGGCGTGAACAATCACTCCAAGGATGATGGCACTTCTACTCCTACGTCCAACGATTCGCAGCCTATCAAGGAATTGGTCAATGACGGGTCCGGGACTCTAGGGCGTAAGACTCTAGGGCGTGAGACTTTAGGGCGGCGCCCTAACCCTAACCATCACCCTAACCCTAACCCTAACCCTTATCCTAACCCTAACCCTAACCCTAACCCAAACCCAAACCCTAACCCTAACCCTAACCCTAACCCTAAGACCCTAAAGTCTTACGCCCTAGAGTCTTACGCCCTAGAGTCCGGACCCCAACTGAATCGCGACTTTACCTTACAGGAGATCAAAGATGCGACTAAAAAACTCCAAAACAATAAGAGTGTGTCCGATGACCTGATATCCAACGAGATGTTGAAAAACTCCAATGAGACACTTCAACTCGTCGTGGTAAAACTCTTTAATGCCTGCCTCCAGCATGGAACTTACCCCTGGAACAACTCGATCACAACTCCCCTCCATAAAAAGGGTGACCGGCAAAACCCTGATAACTATCGGGCTATTACTATTGGGAGCTGTCTCGGCAAACTCTTCTCGAACCTTCTCCTTAAACGGCTGATCGAATTTAGAGAAACAGCCTGTCCGGACCGACCGTATCAACTTGGATTCAGGAGGGGAGCCCAATGTAACGACCACTTACTCACCTTGAATACCATTAATATTATTGAGAAATACACCAAGAAAGAGAAGAAGCGACTTTTCGCCTGCTTTGTCGACTACCGCAAGGCTTTCGATAGCGTATGCAGGGAAGCACTCCTGTTCAAGCTGGGAAACATGGGCATAACAGGCAAATTCTTCGATTGCATCAGCCACATGTACAAGAACTCTTCAACCCGAGTCAAGCTGATTCAAAAGCTATCCGCAGCCATTGACGTCACCATCGGCACAGAACAAGGACACCCAATGTCTCCCGAGCTCTTCAAACTCTATATCCACGAGCTCTCGATCAGACTTGAACAAATCGAGGAATTGGATGTACCTTTATTAAACGGTGTAAAAGTAAGTCACCTCCTATGGGCAGATGACCTGGTACTCTTAGCGCTGGATGCGGGCAGCTTACAGAAACTGCTCAATTGCTTGCATGACTATGCTGAAAAGTGGGAGCTGTCTGTGAATATCAACAAAACCAGCGTGATGGTCTTTAACACAAGCTCACGAATACTGAAATGTGCTTATGGCTTCAAACTAGGCAACTTGGACATCGCACCCGTCAGAAAATACTGCTATCTAGGAATCCAATTCTCCCTGAACGGTTCCTTCAAGCAAGCACTCGATGAACTTAGGAAGAAAGCTCTTCGCTCATTCTTCTCTCTGAGACGAACTATTGACACGAGAGCCCTTACCACTAGCACGATGCTAAAACTCATTGATAGCTTAGTCAAGCCAGTGGCCACATATGGATGCCCTATTTGGCTGCCATCAACCAACATCGTGAAAGCCATCCTCTCAAAAAATCAAGAAGCGAGTCTTCCCAAAGCAGCAGCAAAAGATGCTCTTGAAACTACTCACTTGAAAATTCTTAAATGGATATTGGGTGTCCACAAAAAGGCAAATAACAACTTCTGCTACGGAGATACAGGTAGAACCCCCTGGACAGTAACCGTCCTCCCTCAATGTATTGCCTACTTCTGTAGAGCATCACAAGCGGTAGTAGGTAACGTGAACACCCTCTTGCACCATACATTTCAGGAACAGAAACAACTGAACCTTACCTGGTATGATGCATGGTCTACTATCATCAAGACGAGCACTGTCGCTAAGCCACACCTACCCCACACCCTTGCGGCTCGTGAACACATACACGAAACATTTGTCAGCCACTGGAAGAAGGATCTTCACAACCAGCCTAAAATGTCATTCTACACTGCGGTCAAAGCTGAGTTTGGTGAAGAACTGTACTTACAGCTGCCATGCAGGGTCAAAAGAGCTAACATTGCAAAACTTCGATCTAGCAGTCACGATCTGAGGATTGAGAAAGGTCGCTACACTGGAGATCGCTACAACACAGCACTGAAAACATGTCGCTTTTGCTGCTCCTCAGACACCGACGTCATGCGGTTCTTCGAAGAACTACCATTCTTTGAAACACCTATCCTTGAAACCGAGGACCACGTTATAAATGAATGCCCCAGCTACAACTCCCTCCGGTCCAACCTCTCAGACAACCTTAAAAGCCTCATAATGCTCAAAGAATATGGGGCCATCATGAACTCATTCCATGCTACTGAATTTGGAAAGTACCTCACAGAATCTTTTCACCTTCGACATCCTCCTGAAAAGAAGTCCTAGTTATCACCTCCTATGAAGTCCTAGCAATCACCACCTAACAGACTCTTCAAACCTTCGAAATCCTATGATTAAGTCCTAATCCTCGCTTCACGTCCCCTACTCATCTCCTTCATCGTCCCATCAACTTATGTAAGTATGTAGTTTAACATATCTCCTTGGACTTGCTTTTATGCACACATCCAGAATTTCTTTTAGCATTTAAATTATTATATTTGATTTTATTTCCACTTCGTGATATTGTAACGCGGTTAAATTTTAAGATTTTATTTTCATACTTTTATTCGGCTTTTGTTTTATATATGAACTTATTTATGAATTGATGTATAGCCAAAACGAGTCCGTTAGTGTTCTTCTTGGTAATTTCAAGTTTAATTCCAGTTTAATTCCAGTTTAATTCCTGGTTAAACATTATGGGAATTGTTAAAGGTGCCCATTTAAGGTGTAGTGTCACGGTGTCACATTACCACCCAGTCAATTTTGTTAACGAGATACACAAAACGCTTGATAACTTCGTCATTTCTAATCCGTTTTGCCTAATTTTTTAGATCAGAGACAACAATCAATAATTTACCGTCTCTGAAAAATTAGGCGTCCAGCATGTTCAGAGAGAACAATATAGGTGTTTTAATATTGAATGGGCGTGGTCTAAAATATTCGAATTTTCAAATTTTGGCGACAGAATCCTCAAACAAGTAGATACAGTATGCCATCTGCAAAGCAAAAACCCTCAAATATAAAACACGGGGGAGGTATATAAGACCCAACGTCTGCACACTGACTTTTGCCCCCCCCCCCCCCCCCCCCCCCCCCCCCCCCGTATTTTTAACATGAATAATTTATGAATGAACACTTTATCGTGAACTCTGTATAATATGACTGAGGTTCAACTGATTGATGTTTTCCGTGGAGGAATGATTCGGAATTTAGCGTATATTTTCAATGTTCTTAAATGTTCTACAATTCTCCATGTTTTGTTGTTGGAGATGTATCCCCGAGGGATGTAATCAAGTTAACTGTAGATTAGACACGATTAGGAACACTTTGAAAAATAGGAAATCACCAAAATGTACTTTGTACAACCGGTAGTACATTTTCGGAAATAACTTTTCCTGGACCGAAATTTCACAGTTTTGACAGTTAGTTCTGTCCAGCTAACAGTTAGTTAGTTAATTGCAGTTTTGAATGTTATCATTGAAAAATTTAAAGTCTCCAAGATGGCAGACTATGAAACATTTTAAAATACAAACTTAAATACAAACTATTTCTGGGATTTCCAAATTGAATAAGACAAAAGTAACTTACCTTAACAGTTGAGTACAGTAGTGAAGTTAGTAAATTTTAAAGATATCAAAGGTTCTGCAGGTAGTTGGTACTTCAGAGAGCTGAATTCAGTTGTCCGGAAACCTGGTAACCTGGTAACCTGGTAACCTGGTAACCTGGTAACCTGGTAACCTGGTAACCTGGTAACCTGGTAACCTGGTAACATGGTAACCTGGTAACCTGGTAACCTGGTAACCTGGTAACCTGGTAACCTGGTAACCTGGTAACCTGGTAACCTGGTAACCTGGTAACCTGGTAACCTGGTAACCTGGTAACCTGGTAACCTGGTAACCTGGTAATCTGGTAACCTGGTAACCTGGTAACACAGGGCCCACAAAGATAGGAGAGGGTGACTAAAACGGTGGCAAGATTAAACTAAACATTAGTTTGCGTTTTAAATGATAATGTTTTTGAGAAACTTTGTAATGCTCCATAAGTCGGGATTATCAACAGGTACAACAGATGTGGCCTACACAGTAGGTATTTATAGATTAGATTTGGTGCAATTGTAGACGTCCTGTAGTCTCGAAACACAAATACAAAGAGAAAATAACCAGAAAGTTATGAAAAGATAAACTGATAAAAGAATTAAGGACGGGGACTCAATTGTTCTTAAGAAATCTTCAATTCTCTCGTTTTGATTGGTTCTCTCGGATCACCCTGGATCTGTTCTGATTGGCTCGAAGCCAAGTCGATGCCCGGTCACGTGGATGCCCGGAGAGTCAATCAACGTCAACCACTAGGCATCACGTGATATATACAGCTGATACACATTAAACCACTGGGAGACTTTGGGTCAGGAAACTGATCCGGCCCCCAGTGGTGACGTATAATTAGTAATGTGATCCATGGATTCAATATAATTGACATAGAAATGGGCTAGATCTGGGGTAGAGTTCATATGTCAATTCTGTAAATCAAAACTGTACATTAAGAAGTAAACATAATCTGACTGCTCGACTCGTAGATCACATAAGGGACGGGAGCTCTTCTCGTATCCAGGGATGTGAGACGATGTCTTATTCTATTGTCCATTGTTAATTTAGAATTGGCGGTTGAGATATATGATAACGAATTATAACAGATATTCTTGATAACTACAGGGTGGGCCCTAAAACACTACCCATCTTAATCTTTTGAAATTGTTACAGCTCGCTGAGATCTTGATAATTATTTTAAAAACAAAAAGTGGCATTACTTATGTTCTGATAAATATTTGTGCTTCTAAATTTCACAGAATGTTAATAACAAGTAGCTAAACCTTTGTGGCAAGTTTTGTGTGATTGCGAGCTTCACTGAGCTTATTTGACCAATTTAGCCCCTGAGCGAGCTAGCTTGAATTTCTCACCCAGAACTGTTTACATTAGGTTAAAAGAAACCACCAAAAAAATCCTGGAAAAAAAAATCAAAAAACCAGCGATTTATTCACGTTTTATCAATTCTATTCACCACGATCCATCGCACATTCCATTCTTTCTATATTTTAACTGATAAGGACTATCACAGATGATCCTTCCTGCTTGTTTATACCGTTCTTCTCACATGGAATGTGCGATGAATAGAATTGGTAAAACATAAATAAATCGGTGGCTTTTTAATTTTTTTACCCAGGATTTTTTTGGTGGTTCCTATTAACCAATGTAAACATCTCTGGGTGAGAAATTAAAGCTAGCACGCTCAGGAGCTAACTTTGTCAGACAAGCTCAGACTCACACAAAACTTGGCACGAAGTTGTGTCTAATTATGATTGACATTCTCTAAAAATTTGAAGCAAAAATATTAATCAGAACGTAAGTTATGGCGCTTTTCCATTCTGAAATAAAATGATTAGCAAGATCTCAGCGAGCTGTAACAATTTTAAGAGATAAGGATGGGTAGTGTTTTATGGCCCACCCTGTATATGTAATAACAAGAGAGGGCCTTACGGTATTTTTGCTCAATTCGTAACTCTGAACATACTTAACTAAATGTTTTTAAAAACTATAGAAGTGTATTTTGATTGGCTGACCTTATTTCAAAATAAAAAACTTTTCAAATTCTTTAAAAACTACTTACTATACTTACTACCGGGTAAGTTACTATACTGACCCGCTACTTTGCAGAGCCTGGGGTCATAATATTTCGAAGAAATTTCGGACGTAACATCAATTAGAACTGATCATACACTCAGCTAATTACCATACGTCAAGAAAAGTAGAACCACGTGTTCGGTAGTTGAACGGAAACCCGAGCGTGATATTAGATAATATATAACAGTGTCTAATAGATAAGACACTGATATCATGCTGGATATTGGATAATATACAATATACTTTTAGCTTTTAACAATGGAACCTGCGCTTTTCAAATTTTGAAATCTAAACCGACATTTCAGAACAAAAACGCGGAAGCAGCAACCAGAGTACGAAAGTAAGCATGCATTCTGCAGATGTTCGACAGTGCGACCTAGGTAAGTGCATTTTATTTGTTTCACTTTCGTTAGCTTGGCGGCTTTTCACTTATAGATGGTATATCGCTACTAGTAAAGCTTATGGATAATCTGCATAACATCTGAATCTGAGACCCACTATTTGGACACGCGACACCTGCTATTTTTATGGCGGTTGTTGTAAGAGCAACTGGCTGGTCCATATATTGCTTGCTAGAGGTTGCCACACTATACACAATGCAATATTTTAATGTGAGTGTAGAGTGTAGAATCATCACTGAGGTACTAAGTTCTAACAAGATATCAGATTGAATTATCCTGCAGACTACACTGGTCCTGACAGCACGATGGTATACGGCATCGCTACCGACCCCAGATACGGCATCGCTACCGACCCCAGATCTAACATGCTCCCCGCAGGGGGTGCAAGCACGTCACGGAAAAAGAGTCCTATCAACAAGATGGACATTGTATGTGAGGATCCGTTAGCTTGAGTGCTACCATGGCAACACTACCATATAAGGCTTGAGTTGACTTAGAGTTAGATTATGCAGATCCACAAACAAGCCACAAGGATGTTTTTATTTAATGATAGGCATGCAAGGATTTAAAAAGGTTATAATTCTTTAGTTCAGGACACCTGATTCAGATAACAAGGACCATGGCCTGAAAATAACACGCTATTGATTTGAGAATGTCGTGTTATTATCGATTGTGAAATGTGAATTTATTGTTTTCAATTCCAATATAGTTATATATTTGTTATGTTTGAGATGACTTAATTTGGCAAACTATATTCGATGCATCATGTACGCAACAAATAAATAATAAACGGTAATTTCCAATGGTTAAAAATATATTCAAAGAAGAATACAGAATTGCATCAAATTAATTGGAATTAAATGATAAAAACATTTTAAATAAAATTGTAAGACGAACACTGTTTTCGAAACGAAATGCAAAATTAAACGGAAATTCTCAACCCCATCTTGCTTTTAATCTAAAACCATACAAACTAAATATAATGTGAACAAATTTGTAATAGTCTTCTTGAACTTTGAGAGTCAAAGTTATAAGTCTGCTTATCAGCTCTCTGATAATAAATCTAATATCCATCACAATGTAATGAATTTGTCTAATACCTTATCGGACTTAATTTGAACGGACATTAATAATAATTGGATGCTGGAAGCCCTCGCATTCATTTCAATGTCCGTTCAAATAAAGTCTGTCCGTTAATTACGGTCCGTCCAAGTC